TTTAGGGATTAGGGGGTTCAGGGTTTTCGCCACCTTTTTTAAAATGGCCCGTAGAAAACCGAGCGAGCAGAATCTGGTTTTCGAGCGTAGTACAATTCAATTACATGGCGGACTATGAGGGAAAAGTGTGACTAATTCTTCCGACCCCTTGTTGAACATCGAACGCCTTGAAAACATGGCCAACACCCGAACGCAGCACTCCCTTCCACACCCTCAAAATCCTAGTACCCGAAGCTCTAAACGTAATGCGTATAGTAAGTTTAGGGTTTAGGGTTTAGGGTTTAGGGGTGATGAGAGGAGCTTGGGGCAAAATTCATAGAGCCAGAACTGCAGGAGAGCAGGAGGCACTAGGAAATGGCAGCCACAACCTGGATGAAGTCTTGCGTGAGAGGCAGCTGGTACCTCCAAACCGTAAGCAAAGACGTCTCTAAAGAGATCTAGATTGATCTCCTTTCCGAAGCATGGAGAGACGAAGGGAGGAAGCCTTGGGCCGTCTGCCACCATCTGCCTGGGTCTTTCAACGGATGAGGTCTGGGGGGGACGCTATCATAGTTGGCAGATGTAAGCTCTGTAGGAACTGATGAGGTCTGATTGGGCCGTTATCATGCTTAGCCTGTGAATGCTCTAGGGAACGAATGTGACCCTAAACCCTAAATAAACCCTACACCCCTAAACCTTAAACCCTAAACTCGGGTGGACGTTTTCATGGTGGGAAACTATATGCCAGGTGCTTCACGCGCCTGCTTCCCTATAGTAGCCCTAAGCCCCGTCAGGAACCCTTATAGTAACCTTTACAGCAACCCTTATAGTAACCCTTATAATGGTAACCTTTACAGTAAAGCTTACAGTAACCGTTATGGTAACCGTTATAGTAACCCTTATAGTAGCCCGTTTAGTAAAAGTTACAGCAACCCTTATAGCAACCCGTATAGTAGCCCGTACTTGGAGGCTCATGGGTAGTTATAAGTGGAGTTATAAGTCCCCTAATATGGATTATAATTACAGTTACCCTACTTATAGCCTCACTTGTAACTACCCATGAACCTCCAAGTGAAGCCCCGAAACCATTATCAACCCCTCAGGCCCCTTCAACCGCAGCCCCTAAACGGCTTCCCTGTATAATATAGGGGCCTTAAGCATTACCCATATTCTTCTGGCTGATTGTAATTCCAGTATCATATACCCCCAAACCCTATTCTAATTATTGGGGCCCCTATATTCACACCAAGTCTTGAAACTCTTAAGGTGTAGGGTTTAGGGCTAGGGCCCTGAGCCATGAACCCCTTAGCTTCGGAATGACTCTTGCAAACCCCAAAACACTGTTCGAATTTTTGAGGCCCCTAGTATAGAACCCTATGATACATCCCTTATAGAACCCTTTAAGGATCCCTTTAAAGGACCCCCCCCCATTCCCTCCTATTTTAGACTCGTGCAACCGCGAGGCGCCGAGTGCCGAAGCCTGGCGGCAGCGCCAGGAGCGACGGCGCGAGGCATCGGCTCCTTTGGGCTTTCGGGGGGTTTGGGGATTTGGGGATTTAAGGTTTAGGGGGGTTGGGGATTTTAAGGTTTGGGTTTAGGGGGTTTGGGGATTTTAAGGTTTGGGTTTAGGGGTTTGGGGGTTTGAGGTTTGGGTTTAGGGGTTTGGGGATTGAAGGTTTGGGTTTAGGGCATTTAGGGGTTTTAAGGTTTGGGTTTAGGGGATTTGGGGATTTTAAGGTTTGGGTTTAGGGGTTTGTGGATTGAAGGTTTGGGTTTAGGGGATTTGAGGATTGATTGAAGGTTTGGGTTTAGGGGTTTGGGGATTTAAGATTTTGGGATTTTAAGGGTTTGGGATTGAAGGTTTGGGTTTAGGGGTTTGGGTTGTAGTATTTGAAGTTTACAAGGTTTAGGGGGCTTATGGTTTTGGGGTTCGAGGTTGATGCATTATGCTATCATGACATGATTCGGCTAGACACTAGCTACCCACACCCAGAGGAGGATCTAAAAGGTAGATCCCCTAACTAACTTGGGACCCTACAATACTAAAGTGCACATTGGATATACATACATATATGTATGTATGTGTGTATGTATGTATGTATGTATGTATGTATGTATGTATGTATGTATGTATGTATGCTTATATACATATATATATATATACATATGTATATGTATCAGCGGATCTACTTTTGGGATCCCCCCAGTGCTCCAGGCATGGTCCGTCGAAGTCCGACGAGTGGAGCCATTCGACGACGCGGCTGAGGAAAAAAGCGTGCCCGTGGGATCTGCTTACTGTAGAAGCCCAAATAATTACCAACATTCTGCTGGGGGTTCCTTATTATACTTTCCCTTTTAAGGAGCCCAAAATCCTATTGTAATTATGAAGGCCCCTGTTTTATACTTGTGTTACTGCAAGATTCGATTTAATCCGGCCCTGCAGGCTGGAAGGCTCAGATTCAGGAGATGCTCGTAGTCGTAGTCCTTCGATACTGCCTTCAGCTATATAGATAGAGAAAATTTCCGGCAGCCGTGATATTCATGCGCCGAACTGATCCGGATTTTTTCGTCCCACGGAAGATATCGCATTCGTGAGCAGTCGCCTCATGCAGTCTGCACATTGCTATGTCAACCTACTGCAGTCTTCCGGCAGACCACAGCACCTTCTCTGCAGAGACAGATCTTGCCCCGAGGCTTACTTGAAACGACGTCCTTGAGCAAGAGGCAGCGGAGGAGATTTCTGAAAATCCTTATTTCTAGCCGTTTCTTCTGATGTTGGATGGGTTCTGATCCTCCCAAACCTGCAAGTTTTTGCAAGTGAGACTGCATGCAGACTTGGTATAAAGTGGCTTTTTTCATAGGCAAGGTAGACCCTAAACCCTATAAAACCCTAAACCCTAAAAACCCTAAACCCTAAAAAACCCTAAACCCGAAACCGTCTTCGTGGAAAGGCCTCATGGTTTGCTGGTGCTGTGGGCCTGCGTCCCACGCGCAGGCCGGGCCTTCATAGGTCGGTGCTTCGGTGTGCGCAAGCCGGGTTTGAAATGGGTTTAGGGTTTATAGAGTATTTTGGTTGTAGGGTTTTAGGGTTTATACAGTATTTTGGTTGTAGGGTTTTAGGGTTTATAGGGTTTTAGGGTTTAAGGGTGCTCCGTGCAGCCACGCTTCAACAGGCAGAGCGAATCGGGCCAGTGGAGAAGTCCCCGACGGTCTCAAAGCCAGGCACGCTGAATTTGTTTGGTCCGTCAATGACGCCCTCACAGCTCCATTCCCTCCATTCCCAGTAAATTCGACTTATCCATGATTCCTTTCTCGAAGCACCAGCAGCCATCGTTTGCGGCAGCAGCTCCTTCAAGCCAAACCCGCTTACATGTGGCTCAGATTCCTGCCGATCCACTTGACAGAGCTAGTCAGTACTTCTTCAGAATCCCTCTTACTTGGAGGTTCACGGGTAGTTATAAGTGGAGTTATAAGTCCCCTAATATGGGTTATAACTACAGTTACCCTACTTATCACCCCACTTATAACTACCCATGAACCTCCAAGTACCAGCCAAGAAAAGACATCCTCCATTCCCAGCTTTCCTCATCCTAAACCCTAAACCCTAAACCCTAAACCCTAAACCCTAAACCCTAAACCCTAAACCCTAAACCCTAAACCCTAGCCAGGCCGCTCTAAGGAGGCCCCCAGAACACCAGGGGCCGATGCGGTGGGGACCTTGGGCCGCCCTTTTGCGTAGGGTTTAGGGTTTAGGGTTTAGGGTTTAGGGTTTAGGGTTTAGGGTTTAGGGTTTAGAGGGAGCCCTGGTGGAGCACTGCAGTGGAGCTTTAGAGGTCAAACTTCCGTAGCCTTCCCTAACTCTCCGGGTACCTACTATATAGGGTTCTAGGGGCTCTAGTAATACCCTATATAGTAGGTACCTGGGGGGTTAGGGCTTGTTTTGCTGTGGAGGTGTTCCCTGACTGATTCCCTGCAGCTTGGGTCGTCAATACTTGATGTGGGGATGTTAGCTTAGCACTTCCAGGAAACAGGGTCTGCGTGATTCAACGATGCTCGCAACAAGATTACAACTAAACATAGTACTACACAGGATTTTTTGCTGGGGATATCATTTCATTATATCGGCTGCGGAGGAGGCCAGGCATGTAGAATGCTGCAAACGAATGCGACAAGCCTCATGACAGACGTGTCTCTGCAACCTTTCCGGATGCAGCTGTTCTTTTAAGCTTCAAGGTCATCCGGCCGAAAGCCAGGCAGTTCGTAGACATCTAGCGAGCACGAAGACCTTCAGACTTGACCGCTTGGGACTCTTGGTTTGTCGTTTGTATCGTTGCGCTTCATCCAGTCTCGTCTGAGCCATATCCTACAAGAAGCCTTCTAGATTCGATTCTCACGTGCCGCGGCGTCACCCCAGAGCGCTGCTGCGCCTGTGGAAAGTGGCCCGTCTTGCGGTTTTCTTGCGACAGATTGGGTTCTGTGAGGTCTCGGTCTCGCAGTCAGAACTTGATTTCCGATCTCGCTTTACAGCTGCCGGGTGCACATGGACGGCACAGACTGACTACAGGCAATCAGCAGCTCTGGAATTGATCATGTGTGGCACGCTCCTGCCGAGACGGTGTCATGGTGATCATCTCTTTGGGCGAGGACCTCCCGAAGGAGGTCCAAAGGCCGACCAGCGACTCGAAGCATGTTACCGTGGTCTTGTTGTTGATGCTGTCAGGCCCGGCCACTGATCTATCCCCTATAACCCTCCAGGTACCTATATAGGGTACTAGAGCCCCAAGGGCCCTATATAGTAGGTACCTGAAGGGTTAGGGTATCCTTCAGAGGCTCCTACACTTCACTGTGCGAGCAGACCAAGACTTACAGCAGGATGCACACGCGCAATGTCGTAAATGTTCGGTTGATGGGCATTCACGTGGTCCACATGAGAAGAATGTTCGAAACCTGAGCATCAACGTCACGCAATGAACTGCTGCTTAAGCTTTAAACTTTAACCCGGAGCTGAAGCCTCTAAGCTTTAAGCCCCTAAACCCTAAACCCTAAACCCTAAACCCCAACGACACGCAATCTGCCCAAGGCCAAGCCAAGGCTCCAGTGGTGCAGCCGGAGGCACTGTTCTTCCTTCGGGCACCCATGCTTGGAGGTTCATGGTTAGTTATAAGTGGAGTTATAAGTCCCCTCATATGGGTTATAGTTATGGTTACCCTACTTATAACTCCACTTATAACTTATAACTGCCAATGAACCTCCAAGTGACCATCACAAGGGTCCAGACCCAGAGGCCCCCAGGCCAGGCCAGACACCCGAAGCCCCAATATAGGGGCCTGAATATATATATTTTTTTTTTGGGGGGGGGGTCCTTATTATAAATACCTAGTATGATATGAGTCCCAAAACCCCCTCTCTAAGTATGAAGGCCCCCATAATATAGCTTCCGTCCCAGGCCACTAAAGCAAGCCTTTGCCCTGCAAACTCCGTTTGGAAAGTCCAACCTGCCAGCATCTGCAGCCCAAAATCCGAAGCCCCCAACCTTGACCCTAAAGCCCCAACATTCCCACATCGACTCCATCCAAGCCTTCATCCCTGAACCCAAAGCCCCGGAGACCCAGAAAATCCCATCGTCCACTCCAGGAGCCAAAAAGAGTCTCGAAGGCCTCGCAAGGCCCCAAGGTGGGGCCATGTGCGCTCCGGCTGGGCTCTCGTTGAAGGGATTTGCATCGGCTTGCCAGGTGTCAATGTGTTGGATGGGGCTTCCGCAGGTTTTTCTTGAACATCGTTTGTTCCACTCGGTCGTAGTTCAGGCCGCTGAGAAAGCTGCCGAAAGCGAGCCGCGGCCCGGCAAAGCAGACAGCAAGGCCGAGACGCAGAGCGCCTCCAAAAGAGCGGGCTCCGTCAAGAAGGTGCAGCTTTCGGGGGCCTTAGCTTTCTTCTGGCTTAGGATATTGGGGTATACTATATAAGGTCTGGTAGGGACGATAAGGGCAGACTATTCGGTGTTTGCTTTCAGAAGATCGTGCAGTGGCGTCTCGAGCCCTGACTGCTCCCACAGTGCGCACCAGCCCGGGGCAGAATCAGTGAGGAGGCCCTAACCCCCCGGGTACCTACTATATAGGGTACTATAGAGGTTAGAGCCCTATATAGTAGGTACCTCGAGGGTTTGGGAGGTTTTAGGCTCCATGAATGATCTCGCTCGTTCCTGCGCTCTCTCCCGCACTCGAGCCCAAGCCAAGTCAGTAAAGCCCCAAGTCCACAAACCCTAAACCCTAAACCCTAAACCCTAAACCCTAAACCCTAAACCCTAAACCCTAAACCCTAAACCCTAAACCAACCCTTTGCCTGGGTAGGCGAAGGCCAAGGAGCCAACAGAAGCAAAGGAGACGCCTTCCTCGAAGCAGGAGCCCAAGCCCGGTTCAAAGGGAAGCCAAGGCTCCAAGAAGAAGGCGGACTGTAGAGGGCTTTGCAGATTCAGATGAGCTGAGGGTCGAGGGTTTATAGAAGAATTGTTGGCGCGCTCTCAGCTCGGACTTAAGCAGTGAGGTATACAGGCAAAGCGTCCAAATTTGAACTGGCACAGGCGGACAAGGAAAACAAGGAAGTTCTGCACCGTGCTGCAAGATGGGGTGGAGGAGGATTGGCTGATTGGCTCCGGAATTCAGGCGCTGGCCATTCCCGGCAGTTTCTGTCTGTGTATGTTTACGAACTCTTGAAAGTATATGATGCTTGCACATCAGGGTTTGGGGGCCACAGGAGCTGTAGATTCAGCTATTTCGAAGAAGAGCCTTCGTTCCCTTCCTGTCTCATGCAAGCAGTGGTGCTTCGGAGCCTCGAATGCAAAGGCTTCTGTGAAGCCCCCCCGAACCGAAGCAGACCCAGGAGTGTTGTTTACCAAGGCAGCTGGGAAAACTTGATGGCTTGCAGCTGGAGGTGCGCCAAACACGTGGCGAACCTGTCGACAGCACCTCGCCTGACATGGCCCGCACGGGAGAGATCGACGGCACTGCTGTTGGGACATGCTGCGTCAGAAAATTCCAGATCCAATAACTGAAGCTGTGAATCAGAAATGTGGAAGGTGAGTCGCACATTCAGAGTCCGAATGCTTCATAATGTCAGGATCTGGGAGATTCTTATGGCTACTTATGCCTGTCGGTTCAGCACGGATCGGATCCATCCAGCATGACTTAAAGTTGTCTTAGGGTTGCATGTTGATCCGACAGGGCATGTAGAGAAGGATCTCGGAATGTTGCAGCCATCAGGTACCAAGCAGATGCGTGCTGCTCTCTTCGAGCTCACTACAGCCTTTCAAGCTGGAAACAAAGCAGCTGCCTTCCAGGCCTGGAGGGTAGATAGCACATCGGAATGCACTGAAACTTCGAGTACGGTGCGACAGTAGGATTCTTGAAGTGTTTCTGTTTTCCTGTCCCCTCAGTCGATATTCCTCAGTCGATGTTTAAGCAGAATAAGTTTATGTAGTTCAAGTAGTTTCTCCTCGCACCATTCGGGGTGAGGAAGGTGTGGTCAGTCTGGCCACTGTGCTGTGTTTATTCCATACTCCATGCTCTTCCGGAGGCCATGGGGCAGCTGGCGCAGAATCCGCAAGGCGATTTGGCCGCAATTCTACGATGAAAGCTACACGCGGCAAACGAAGAGCCGCCAGGTATACAGAGTTTGCAGACACTGCCTGGCATCGATGCTGCCACGGCCCGATACCTCGAGCAGGCTCTAGGCGGGCCCGAGATGGCTCAGTGAAACTACTATAGGGGCCTGAATAGTTACCTATACTATTTCGGGGATTCCTTATTATAATTATAGCATAATGGGCCCCAAAACCCTATTCTAATCATTCAGGCCCCTATATTATAATGAATCGGAGCATCTCGAGATCTTCCTGCTACGTTCGGTTCAGCCATGCTGAGCTACTGGTAGTCCTACGGTTGATGATATAAATCCTGCATTACCTATACTTGAAGGAACATACCCTACTTCCCGCAGTTCTGGGATCCTTAAGGAAATGCTAAGGATTTAGATCATCAGCAGTAGTAGTCGTGGAGACGCGCAGGTGTGATGCAGTCTGCGGCGCCTGGGTCGCTGCAGAGCCTCGTCCGATTGGCGGCTTGAAAATCGCGGCCCCAAACCCTCCAGGTGCCTACTTTTTAGGGCCCTAGGAGCTCTAGTACCCTATATAGTAGGTATCTGGGGGGGTTAGGGGGCTGTGCCGAGTTCTGAAATGCAGGCATCGCTACCTTGAGGCTGCTGTAGAATGGCAATGGAAGGAACTGCTTGGAGGTTCATGCTTAGTTATAAGTGGAGTTACAAGTCCCCTAAGATGGGTTATATTTATAGATACCCTACTTATAACCCCACTTATAACTACCCATGAACCTCCAAGTGCAGCGGATGGATCTGCGGCACATCGGTTTGAGGGTTTGGGACCCAGGTCGGGGTTGGACGCCCTGCCAGCCATGATGGACTACGATGACCCTCTGCGACATTGAACAGGGGACTTTACCTGTTCTTAGGTATTGAATGTTGGATTCGGGAGTTTGGAGAGAGGTGGCCATATCATATCCTTGAAGCTGCTTCACAGCGCACACGAGCAGACGACATGACCTTAAAGTACATACCCACGCTGGCGAGACGGACCTGCAAGAAGAGCAGTACTATATGACGATGGCTCTACACCGAGTTAAGCTGTTCGTTTAGGCCTTGTGCCTCAGTAGAATCAGTATACAGTCGTGCAACAGGACAAACAGGAGCGGCCCTGGTAATGTTTGATCATCGTCGTGGCCATCATGGTCCTCATCAGCATCATCAACACCAACATCACCATCACCACGCCATGTCAACAGAAAGTTCAAAGTCGGAGAGTAAGTTCAAGCATATTCATATTACGACCATTGGTAGTGACTTCTCTCAGAACATCAGTCATGGCCTTGGAAGGTTCTCTCATAAGGGACCCCTTCTGGAGGACTGCAGGAGAAAGGTCACTGTTCTTCAGAATCGTAGGGTCCATTATTTATCTGCAGACGCTGCCAAGGCTCATTGAAAATACTAATGACCATGGCCATGTGAAGAAGATGCTAAGGCTCCCATTTCCGCCATCAACTTCCCAGACGAAGCCGAGAGGAAGATCGTGGCTGACGACTGGAAGTGCTCCAGCGTGCGCTGTGCTTTACGGTTTAAGGAGTCAGGGCTTTGAGGTTTAGACTCATGGTTAAAGGCAAGGTTTGGTCCTGCGACACAAGCAGCAACTGTATAGATGAAGTGGGTGATACACTTGTGCCACCTGATCCCTCTCCGGCTTCTGTCCGTCATGACAACATGTCTGAGAGCTTCTCCGTGCCTTCTTGGGGCTCGATGGTTTCGGCGCGTAGGTTTCGAGCTGTTGAGCTGGCACCACCAGAGAAGCCGGAACTCCAGTAGTGCAACCCGCAGCTCAGGCACATTTCTGCGAGGTCGAAGGCCTTGAAGATCCTTGGCACAAGTGCCGGACATCCTAGGAAGGAGCTCCTGGCACCGAATGTCGAGATCGGAGGCAAGTTACGGTTGAACTTTTTTTGGGAAGGGTCCTCCATGTCAAGTGGCTTTTGTCTGGATTTTTCCATCAGTCGTAGCAGATCCGATTCCTAACCGTCATGTACGTCTGACAGACTGCAGCCGCCGTCAAAGCCATATTATGCAGACCCTGAACCCTTAAACCCCTTAAACCCCCAAACCCTAAACCCTTAAACCCTTAAACCCCTGAACCCTAAACCCTAAACCCTAAACCGTGATGTTAGCTCAGGAAGCCGGCGCAGAAGAAAGCCCCGAGCGCTGCTCCCGCGACGGCTCCGGGGAAGCCCGGAGCCGCTTCCAAGGGCAAGTCCTTCAGCTTCTTTGGCTCCAAGGGCGCAGCTTGGCTGTCCTTAAATCCCTAAACCCTAGACTCTAAAACCCTAAACCCCAAACCCTAAAACCCTAAATGGGGCCCCAGAGGCGCAGCTTGGCGGTTGAGGGTTTAGGGCTTATAGGGTTTATAGGGTTTAGGGTTTACAGGGTTTAGGGGCTCCAAGCAGCTTGGCTGTCCTTAAACCCTAAACTCTAAACCCTAAACTCTAAAACCCTACAGCTTGGCTGTCCTTAAGGCAAAGGCAGCCTCTGCATGCGTCGTTGTTTTTTGTCAGGTCGGTCTTTGAATCTGCCTTGGTTTTGGTGCTGAGAGTGGTACATGGTGAGCGGTGAAGACTCAAAGACCCTGAGCCCAAAGCCCCTAAACCTCTGAACCCTAGATGATCCTAAACCCCTGAAGCCCTCAACCTTAAAAAAAGCCCTAAACCCTAAACCCTCAACCCTAAAAGAGCCCCAGGCAAAGGAGTCGAAGGCTGCCCCCTCGGAGAAGACCGAGGAGGAGGAGTCTGAAAGAGTGATGGGTGCCATGGATGCTCGTACTGCAAGGATGTTCAGATGTTTGGAGTTTAGGAATTTGGGGTTGCGCTTTAGGGATTAATAGGACATGCGGATTGTGGGGGTTTAGGTTTTTAAGGATTTAAGATGTACGGGTTTAGGGAGTGGGATTAGGGGTTCATGGCTTTGGTGCGTTGGGTTTAGGGGGGAAGCGAGACGTGTGGTTGTAGCATGGCTCAGTCTATGTACTGAGAGACTGGATGCACTGCACATATATCTGTTCCTACACACATGGCAGATGTGTTTTCTTATGTGTGTGTACATATATATATATATATATATTTTTGTTCATATCTATATACACACATAATTATATTTTTTATATGTGCAGATGTAAGACTGTAGTACTTCCTTGTTGTACGATGTTTCAGATAATTCATTAATGCATATAATACAGGTTGACATTCAAATCTATGTGTGTTGTACATAAGACTGTAGTACTTCCTTGTTGTACGATGTTTTAGAGAATTCATTAATGCATATAATACAGGTTGACATTCAAATCTATGTGTGGTTGTACATGACATATTGTGTATATATATATATATATATATATATGTGTGTGTGTGCGTGTGCATACATACGTGCGCACACAAACTTCGAATGCACAGTTATGCAGCTACGTGACCAAGTGCCGAGACCGAGGGAGAGAGACAGGCAGAGAGAGGTGAGAGGCAGGGAGAGAACTTACAGAGTACGAGTCTTGGAGTAAGTAAGCAGGTTTCGCACGGCACATGAGGAAGTAACACCAAGGTGGCAGCCCTTTAAAACTAGTAGAATGCAGGGAATAATTTGCAGCATGTAGTCAGTAGCAGCAGCACATGCAAACAGAAAAAGAAGTATTTTTGCATCCTGCAAAAGCCCACACCCAAGCAGCATGCTCTACGAAGCTGCAAGATAGCAAGGCTGACTTCCGTCCCTGGAACGTCAGGATTTTAATGAGCTCGTTACCATGAATGCTGGCATCATCAGTGCCAACATGCAGCCCGAGTGCAAGATGAAATACTTGAGTTGTTGCAGGGAGCGGTCTAGCTGGGGACTTCAGATGGAATGCCTCGGGTGTGATATTATATCACGAGTTCATATTTTGTTTTTGAAGCATCAGAAATGGGTTGGCCTGTGGGTTCGTCGAGACTCTTAGTAGCCTGAAAGTCAGGAATGTACGAGACTCGCTGCATCCTACCATGTTGAAAGGGTTAACGGTGCTGAGGGCCCATGCCCTTGAGAAAAGCTTGCCGGCTGATTTGCCAGGTCTTTCATTCAAGTCCTGCTGCAGCTGTTCGAGCAGCTGCTGGCTCCAGCTGTCAACGCCGACGAAGGATCGCGAGCCTACTTCCCAAAGTCTCGGTCTCTGCAGTGGCAGCTGGTACTGGACATTCTGTGATTATTCCTGGTAGTATGATTTATAACCACTACCACCACTACTACTGCTGCTACTGCT